TTTTTTATTGACAGATATGATTAGAGATATAAATTTCCCTGCGGGTACTTCTTTGGCTGCATCTTACACTTTTGGAATGTTGTTTGGAATGTTGGAATGTTGTACCATTCTCTTTAAATCAATTATTGATTATTTCTATTTTTTCTTCTTTCACCCAATCATTCTTTAGGATTAGATTATTTAGTTTCCAATTAATTTTAATCTCTGTTTCCAAGGCCCTATACAGAATGAAATTTTATTGCATTATGGTCTGAAAAGGGTTTTCTGCATTTGTGATATTTTTGTGCTCTACTACATGTTCATTTTTTTTTGAAGATGCTATGTACAGCTGAAAGAAAAAGATATAATCCTTTATATTCCCCTTCAATTTTCTTTAGAGGTCTATCATATCTAACTTTTCTAAAATTCTATTAAGCTCCTTACTTTATTTCTTATTTATTTTAAAGTTAAATTTATCTATGTCTCTGAGGGTTAAATTTAGGTCCCTAATAATATAGTTTTACTGCCTATTTCCTCCTATAACTCATTTAACTTTTCTTTTAAGAATATGGATGTTCTCCTATTTGGTGAATATATGTTTAGTATTGATGTTACTTCATTGTCAATGGTACATTTTAATAAAATGTACTTTTCCTGATTATTTTAATTATACTTATTTTTGTTTTGGCTTTATTTGAGAGTATGATTGCTACCCCTGCCTTTTTTTTTTTACTTCAGCTGAAGCATAATAGATTCTTCTCTAGCCCTTTATTTTAACTCTGTATATGTCTTACTGTTTCAAGCTTGTCTCTTATAAACAACATATTGTTGGATTCTTTTTTCCTAATCCATTCTGCTATACTTTTCCATTTCATGGGTGAGTCTATCCCATTCACATTCCCAATTATGGTTCCTGCTCTCAATATTTACTTCTTGACCTGGGAGCTCTGGATTTTGGCTCTGATATTCCTGATTTGTTTCATTTTGGAATCTCTTTCAAAATGTGACCAGTGTATTATTTTAATTTCTATTTTGCCCTCTGGTTCTAAGATAACAGGGTAGGTTTCCTTTATAGTTTCTTTAAATATGATATCTAGTGCTCACTTTGGCAGCACATATACTAAAATTGGAATGATATAGAGAAGATTAGCATGGCTCCTGTACAAGGATGACACACAAATTCATGAAGCATTCTATGTTTTCTTAAAAAGAAAAAAAAAGAAATATAGATTTGAGGTAGTCCAATAATTCTTAATTTATCCTTCCTTGATCTATTTTCCAGGTTAGTTGTTTTTCCTATGAGGTATTTCATTTTTTCTTCTATTTTTTCAGTTTCTTGATTTAAATTTATCATTTCTTGATCTCTCAAGGAGTCATTAACTTTAACCTAATTCTAATTTTTAAGGAAGTATATTCTTCTGTGAAGTTTCATACTTCTTTTATCATGTGGCCAATTCTGATTTTTATTGAGTTATTTTCTTTATTGTTTTTGTTCTATTTTTAGCACAGTCCCTGACACATATTAGGCACTTAATAAACATTTATTGAATTAAAAATTGAATTTTACCAGGTTGTTACTTCTCTTCACATGTTTTGTTGTGTGTGTGTGTGTGTGTGTGTGTGTGTGTGTGTTTGTGTTGCATTGGAGTTAAGTGACTTGCCCAGAGCCACACAGCTAGTGAGTGTTATGTGTCTGAGGCTGGATTTGAACTCAGGTCTTCCTGACTCCAGGGCTGGTGCTCTATCCACTGTGCTACCTATGTTTCTTGAATTGTTCTCATTTATTTCCCTAATTTTTCCTCTACCACTCTTATTTGACTTTTAAAATCCTTCTTGAGCTCTTCCAAGAAGGCATTTTGGTTTTAAGACCAGTTCATATTCCCTTTTGAGGTTCCAGATGTGGGTTTGTTGACAATGTTGTCCCCTTAAGAATTTCTGCCTTGATCTTCACTGTTCCCATAATATGAATCTATGGTATGTTTCTTTTTGCTCATGACGTTTGCCTATTTTCTGACCTTTAAAGAGATTGGGCTCTCCTGCTGGAGAGCACAAGCTTCTTGTGTTGGGACCCTAGTGCCTGGTCACTGGCTTTGTGTGCTGGGGCCTCAGATATTGGCACTTGGAGGCTGTAGGATTCTGGCTGCTTACCTGGTGTTAGGCTAGAATCAGCAACACTGAAACCCTAGGAGTAGGATTTGGTAGTCTGGCCCCTGGATGTTGCCTGTTCATCTGGGTCTTTCCTTTCACTGTCTTTGGCTCCTTTCAGATGGATGTTTCACTGCTGCTGGGTGTTTCTCTGCCTGGCACTTTCCTCCTTCGAGCTACACTTCCCAGAGTTTTGCTGAGGCACTGGGAGAATTGGCTGCTGTAAAAAGCTGTGGCACGTGGTGGTTTTCTGAGCCAGTTTCCACTGGTTCCCATGCCTGTACTGAGGCACTCGGGGGTCCTGGTGTTGGTGTTTGCCTGCTATACCATCTGTGGTTCAGGATCTCCCCCTGGTATGCTGAAGTAGGGTTTCCCACTAGCTTGCTGGGACACCTCCCATTCTGTACTGCTCCCCCTCCACCATGGCAAGAGGAGCCTTTCCCATTAATCTCTCAAGCTTCCTGGGCTACTGGACTGCTACACCCCATCTTTCTGCTGGTTCAGCTGTTCCAGGGTTTTTCTGGAGTGATATTTTCTGGGCTTTCAGAGGTTAATAAAGGATGGTAAGAGCATCTTACTTCTTACTTCACCATCTTGGCTTCCAGAAGCAGAACCAAATATTCACTTAAATATTAAAAAATGCTCACTTTACAAAAAAGCTCTACCTTTTTTTTACTTCTTTCTTGTTGGAGAGAGTCCTTTATAGAATAAATAGAAATTCACTTCATTGTTTCTTTCATTAGAGGATGGGAGATATTTACAATGAAATTTTTATTATTTGAATTACAGAATTATTAGTGGCTGCTTTTGGTAGAAAGAGAGCTCTGATAAGTATTCAGCTAATTGAAATAACTGATAGAATAACTTTTCATCATACTGTCAGTGCCCCTTTTTCAAACATAATGTAATATTTTTACTAGTATTTTTATTTGAAAACAATCTCATACTATTCATACAATAGATGAAAAAATTCAAAAAGAGAAAGATGTATTTATTCCCACTCTCAGGAAACTATTTTTGCATTGTGGTCTCTAAATGAGATATGGCATCAAATTTTGTCAAGTATTACTGAGAGATACAGAAAAATCAGAATGAACTGAAAGCATTCTCTGACATCAAGGTTTGATCTGAGGAGACAAGATACTATTTTATTGCTCTCAGTAAATGATCCCAATTTAGTTGACAAAATGCTTAGAAGAATTGTGCCTCAAAGTGACATGATGTAACAGAAAAAAATGTATCTATTACATATTTTATGTTCAGCATCAATTTTGTGAGGTATGATTATAGTACAGACCTGAGATCCTTCAAGTACATTTTACTTCAATCAATTGCTGCTGTTTTAGTCAAAACTTACGATGTAGATGTTTCATATACTCCCAAACTAACAGAATGTTAAAGCCTGACATGATTTATATTTCTTTTCTTAGCAAACTTTACAACAATACTGTTTATTAAGTTTTATTAATAAGAGAAGTGAAATAGAAAAAGTAATATTTTGATATCTATTTAATATTCAGAAGTAAAAACCCAATTAAAATTAAATTACTATATTATCTTAATAGATAGGAAATGCCTGCTTACTGATATGGGAGTAATTTCTGAATCAGCTTTCTGTGTAGAGTTATCTTTTGATTTGACATCAACTTGTCAAAGTAAAACTTAAAAATTAAGATCCAATTGGAATTCAGAGCAAAAATGAGATAATATGTCATGAAATTGAAATAGGACTGCTATGACAGGTTGAAATATACTATTCCTTACAAAAAAAGTTAATGTATAAAACAACAAACATTGAACATCTAATATCACAATTTTCTAAATTTAACTTATAAAACAATTACCACAAAAAAGCCAAAAGAGTCATTTAACACTTGATCTCTTTCACAAGCACAAACACGAGACATCCAAGATGAGATCTATTTAATATTTAATAATAAGTACTTACATGGCACTTTACTTTTTCCAAAATTCTTTAAAGTCATTTAATCCTCACAACAACTCATTGAGTTCAGTGCTATTATTATCTCTGTTTTACTGATGAGGAAAGTGAGGCAAGCAGAGATTTAATGACTTTCCTAAGGTCATACAGCAGAATTTGAACTCAATTCCCTCTTGTTCCATGTCCAGCACTGTGTCTACCAAGCCACCTACCTCCCTATATACTCATTTGCAAAACCCTAAAGAGGATGGAGAAATAGTTCACAATGCAAGAAGCTTGAAGAAAGATAGGTGTGAAACACAATTAAGTTTACATTTCTGTAGCAAACTCTTTCCTCCATCAATTACAGAGGAGTTACCACATCTGTACTATGACAACACAGCCATGACTATGGAAACAGATATTTCATTAAAGAAAACAAAAGACAGAGAAGTGAAATTGAGCCAGATCGAGCCAAGAATACATAGATGATAATATTGAAGGAAAAACAGAAAATGCTGAGATGGTTGAGGGATTTTTTTTGCAAGGCAATCAGGGTTAATTGACTTTTCCAGGGTCACACAGCTAGTAACTGTTAAGTATCTGAGACTGGATTTGAAGTCAGATTTCCTGACTCCAGGGCCAGTGTGCTATCCACTGCACCACCTTGCTGACCCAGCTGAGGGATTGATTTTTAAGAATTCTGAAATCCAGGAATGGGAGGGGATATGAAATGATTAGAAATAAAAATTGATATTACTCCTAAAAATAGTTAAGGATGCAATAACAAATATAAACCTACTTGCCTTTCTTTATGAAAATAGTTTAGGCATGTGTTGAGATATTAGAAAGGAAAAGGTAAATTTTCACAAATGATTTTCTATAGTCAACCACATTTTATAGTTACATAATTGACAGAAATTTTTTAATGAATACAAGTTCCCACTCTACTTACCTTTTGTCGAACTATTTAAACGTATTTGATTTGTGAAAGCAAAATTCAGCCTTGATGATTCGGATCCAAGAAGGTGTCTTCCATGCATATGTTGAAATCATACAATAGTCCTTTAAAAGATGGAATAATAGACAAAATATTAACCCTCTAATTATTCATATAACTTGGAGCATAGAATAGAGAATTATATGTTTATAAAATATTGGATGATGTATATCCTAGAGTCCAAATGGGAAGGAATTTCACCTAATATGGAGAAGTGGATGACATATTGCTGATTATATTAGGATCTGAAACCATGTAAAGTATTCTAAATGAAGTGCATAATTACTCAAATAGGTTTAGCCTAATACGTCATACAGGAAAAGCCAACTGGATAAAGAATGTTTGTTGTCTTGCGTATGATATGTAGTTGGCTGAACAGTCCACTGAGTTGGTATATCAATTCAATACTTTGTGGAGGGGGAGAAATATAGATGGATCATAAACAAGCCCAGAAATGAATCAGAAGGAAGTACTAGAATAGATTGTTTAAGGGAAATTATTCAATTCTTTCAATAACTCCAAGCTTCCTTTTAATAAAAACCCATCTCTTTAATGATGATACTCCTCCAGTTATGTTAGATGGCTCTAAAAGGTTAATAATGACATGTGTAAGTCACTTTGAGTTCTGCAAAGCACTTCATGTACATTATTTCACCAGAGTCCCAAAATGGTTCTGTGAGTCAGGTATTAGAAGTGTCACCCCCATTTTACAAATGAAAAAAAAAAAACTAAGGCTTATAGCAGTTAAGTGACTTGCCCATAGTTATACTGATATAAAAGTCAGAGGCAAACCCAGGTCTTTCTGACCCCAAGCCACTATGAAAATCTGCCATGCAGTCTTAGAGGAATTAAAATTTCAGGTCACCCCAAGGGAAATGGAGGCTATAAAAAAGCTGTATTACCAAAGATGATTTGAGTACAAGTATTTTAAAAGATGTCAATGGGATGTATAACTGTAAAAATTAATGGATACATAATGAGAGGAAAGAAAATATAAACAGTTGGAATGCTTCATTGGTACCTCAGTGATGTTATGAGGACCTATAGGAGGATATTGACAAGAGTCACCCAAGATAAGAGGATATGAACGGATTGCAATTTATACTGATACAAACTCCCTCAAGATCAAGAGGCATAAACATAATGAAGTAGTTGGGGTTTTTTGTTTGTTTTGTTTTTAAGAAGCAAACACCAAACTTTTTTCACTAGACCTCAATAGCTCACCTGACTGGCTTCTCAGATTATAGTTCACATCTGAATAAAAATAAATAAGACATGGCACTTCAAGGAAAATGAAAACTAAGATGCTCAATGATAATACTGCATAATGCTGAAAGTCAACTGTCAGAGTAACTCTTGTCATATAATGGAGACTATCTAATTTATAAATTGAGTATATTGCCTATTTTTACAAAAATTATTCCATATGAGGAGAAATTGTCTTCTGTATTATTCAATAATAAATATTTCTATAAATATTCATTATTTAAAATATGACAAAAAAATTACTTGATACAAGTCCAGGGGCTGAATCAAGTTAGAGGAGTAGAGAAGCATTTAGCTGAGCTCTCCCAACATTTCACTCCAAACAACTTTAAAATAACACCTCAAATTGATTTGTGGAATAGCAGGGTCAATGAAACATCAGTGGTGGGGTTAGGTGGTAGTGCCAGAAGCAGCAGCAGCTTTGGGTGCTCCCAAGCCAGAGACAATAAGGGTATTTGGCAACTGGTCAGAAAGAGAGTATAAGGTTTCCCTATGCTAATGCTAGACACAGGACCAGATGCTGTTTGGCAATTCCATTGTCTATACCTAATTTGGGGTCATAGTGTAAGGGCTGAGAGGAGTACTTTCAGTCAAGAGGGAGCAAGAACCCTAAGTGCAATGTTACTTCTGGCTCCAAGGGATTAGGGACCCTAAAGAACAACATCATTTCTAGTCTCAAGGTAGTGGGGGACCTGAGGAAGAGTATTATTTGCAATCCCATTGGAGCATGGTCCTTTCCTGGGTAAGGACCAGAGTGCAGACCAAGAGTACAGTGACTCCACTTCACCCCAAAACATACCACTTTGGAAGCACCAAAAATTTCCAGTCTCTCAGAACTAGCTCTGAAAAAGCAATGCAAAAAAGTCTGAAGCTTGAGACATAACCCCTACATCCCCCACAGTGGGAACAGAGCCCAGCATTAACATAAAGTTCCAAATCAAGAAATAGGGTGGAAAATGAGTACACAAACAAAAAAATCCTAACCATAAGAAGATTCTATGGTCACAGGAAGATCAAAACATACACTCAGCAAGCAAAACCTAAAAAAAAATGTGAATTGGACACAAGCCCAACAAGAATTCGAGGAAGAGCTAAAAATAATGTCCAAAATACAATAAGAATAGTAGAGGAAAAATTAGGTAAAGAAATGAAAGCAAAGGAACAAAATTTTGAAAACACAATTAATAGCTTGGTAAAAGAGGCACAAAAATACTGAAGAAAAGAATACCCTAAAAAAGAATTGGGCAAATGGAAAAAGAGGTATAAAAGCTTATTAAAATTAATTCTTTAAAAATTACAATTGGGCAAGCAGAAGCTAAATGACTCCTTGAGACATCAAGAAATAATAAAACAAAACCAAAGGAATAAAAAAAATAGAAGTGTGAAATATGTCATCAGAAAAATAACTGAAGTGGAAATAGACTGAGGAGAGATAATTTAAGAATTATTTGATTACCTGAAAGCCATGATTTAAAAGTACCTAGATACTATATTTCAAGAAATTATCGAGGAAAACTGCCCAATATCCTAGAACCAGAGAATAAAATAGAAATTGAAAAAAAAATCTACTGATCACCAACTGAAAGAGATGCCAAAAGGAAAACTCCCAGGAATATTATAACAAAATTCCAGAAGTCCCAGGTCAAGGAGAAAATACTTCAAGCAGCCAGAAAGAAACCATTCAAACACTGTGGAACCACAATCAGAATCACAAAGATTTAGAAGCTACAACATTAAAGGAGCGGAGGGCTTGGATTATGATATCCCAGATGGCAAAAATGCTGAGATAACAACCAACAATAATCTGTCCAGCAAAACTGAGCATAACCCTTCTAGGGAAAACAAAAAGATAATGAAATAGAGGGCCACCAAGCATTCCTGATGAAAAGAGCAGAACTGAATAGAAAACTTAACTGTCAAATAAAAGACTCAAGAGAAGCATAAAAATGTAAACATGAAAGAGAAATAATAAGAGACTAAATAATATTTCTATATGGGAAGATGACACATGTATCTTTTAAGAACTTTATTATTATTAAGATAGTTAGAAAGATTCTACATAGGAAGAGGGGGCAAGAGTGGTTCATTACGTGGGGATGATGCAAAATATATATATATATATGTAAGAAAGAGAGATGTCCTTGGAGAAAGGGGAGGGGAGGACAATGGGGAAAATTATATCATATAAAAGAGGTGCACAAGGAAGAGGTTTTTATACTGGAAGGGAAAATGGTGGGAAGGTAGGCAATGCTTGAAACATTGAAATCTAAAGTGCTTCAAAAAGGAGAAACACACATATTTGTACGTATGCATACATACACCTAAATGTATGCATGCATGTTTGTGTGTACACACACATATATTTAATTGGTAATAGAAATCTATCTTACACAACAAGGAAATAGGATGCAGGAGGGGGAGGGGATAGGAGAAAGGGAAGATGATAAAAGGGATGGCAGCTAAAAGAAGGCAGTGATTAGAAGCAAAACAGACTTTAAAGGAGGGACCAATAAAAAGAGAGAGAAAGATGTGCAGAAGAAAACAAGATGGAGCAAAATCACAGTAAGTAATCATAATGTGAAAGGAATGAACTCACCCCCAGATAGCAGAATGGGGTAGAAACCAGAATCCAACAATATGTTGCTCACAAGAAACACACTTGAAACAGAGAGACATGCACAGATTAAAATAAGGGGCTGGTGCAGAATCTATTATGCTTCAGCTGTAGTAAAAAAGGCAGGGTTAGCAATCATGATCTCAGATGAAACAAAAGCAAAAATGGACTTAATTAAAAGGATAAGCAGGGAAACTACATCTTGCTAAAAGGAACCATAGACAATGAGGAAATAACAATATTAAAGACACATGTACTAAATGGCATTCAAATTCTTAAAAGAAAAGTTAAAGGAATTATAGGAGGAAATAGTAAAACTATACTAGTGGGAGACCTCAACCTTCCCCTATCAGAGTTAGATAAATCTAACCATAAAATAAGTAAGACAGCAGTCAAGGAGTTTAATACAATTTTAGAAAAGTTAGATATGATAGACCTTTGGAGAAAATTCACTGGGAATAGAAAGAAGTAGTCCATTTTCTCAGATGACACCTTCACAAAAAATTGACCATGTATTAGGGCATTAAAAACCTCATAACTAAATGCAAAAAAAGTAGAAATATTAAGTGTTCCCCTTTCAGATCATAATGCAATATAGGGCCTTGGAAGCATAGATTAAGAACTAATTGGACACTAAATCATCTAATCCTAAAGAATAAGTAAGTCAAAGCACAAATCATAGAAACAATCAATAATTACATTAAAGAGAATAACAATATTTCAAAATTTGTGAGATGCAACCAAACCAGTACTTGGGGGAAAATGTACATATTTAAATATATTAATAAAAGAGGAAATGAGCAGATCAATTAACTGAGAATACAACTAACAACAGTAGACAAAGAACAAATTAAAAACCCTTAAACAACAAAATGGAAATCCTGAAAATTAAGGAGAAATTAATAAAATTAAAAGTAAAAACATATTGAACTAATAAAACTAGGAGCCTGATTTCATGAAAAAAAATAGATAAACTATTGGTTAAATTGATTTAAAAAAAAAAGACCAAATTACTACTATCAAAAATGAAAAGGGTGAATTTACCACCAATGAAGATGAAATTAAATCAATTTTTGTAGTTTTTGCCATTTTATATGCCAGTAACACTAATAACCTAAATGAAATGGATGAATATATACAAAAAATTTAAACTGCCAAGATTAATAGAAGAGGAAATAGAATATT